GCTCATGCTTCTACATCTTCTTCTTCCTGTAGGAGATATGTTTGATCTATAGACGAATCACTCCATCCATCCCCCCGCAGGCTCAGGTGTCACCTATTCAAGCGTTTGAGGTTCCGGGGCGACCGATGGTATTGGAGGCACCACTGCCACCCCTGACACATGATGTTGTCGAGCCAGTGTAACCTTTTACTGCTTGTATTCTTTTTTCTTTTGAGCCAGTGCCACCTCCTACTACTGATGTTGTTGAGTCGGTGCCACCTCCGAATGGTGAGGCTGCTGAGCCAGAGGCATTTGGAGGAGGCTTTTTGGATTTGTTACTACTGCCTCTATACCCAAACCATAGTGCCAGAAATATCTGGGACGAGGAAGTGACATTAGTTGGATTCATTCTTTTTAATTTTAATTAACAATTTTCTGACATTGATTTTAATTTTTTTAGAACCATGATTCGGTGAAGTTTATTAAGCACGGTCGGAAGATTATTGGCATGTCTCTGCCGGATGAGGATTAATTTCAGACAACTTTGTCCCTATCTAAGATGAAGGACTTGTGCATGACCAATTATATTACAGTCAACCACGAGAAGTTTAATGCATTCGTGGAGAGGTGGAATTCCGAGACATTGTCATTTCATTACAACTTGGTGAGATGTCTATCACTCTCAATGATATATTGTGTTTTCTACATTTCCAATTAGAAGGAAACTTCTAGATCATGGGAGGATTACCAAAGACGGGGCACTCGAGATGATACTAGACTATTTAAGGGGTGACTCAGCAGAGGTGAAGGAGGAGTTGAATAGAACTAAAGGGATCATACTAGGTTTGAATACCTGAAAAAGGTATATGCAAATGAGCTCTAGAGAGCACGACAGACTATATGTGATGACAAGCAGGTGGGGCTCTACAGAGCGCATGCTATGAGAGCATACCTGCTATATTTGGTTGGCACTGCAATTTTTTGTGGACAATAGTGCCACTTATGTAGATGTCATCTACCTACGGTACTTCAAGAATTTCGAGCGGATCAATGAGTTAAACTAGGGGCCATTTGTTTGGTTTACATGTACTTGAAGTTATTAGAGGGTTGTAGATGGAAGATGAAGCAGGTCACCTGAAGCATCACATTTTTTACGGTAATATTTATTGGTCTTTTTATCTTTCTGTGTCGTTTTCATTTCATATTTACAACACCATTACTAATGATATGTGCGTTCTAAACTTTTCAGGCTTGGATCCTCTAGCACTTCCCGCACATCTCCGACTGGGCGAGTGTACCAACTTACACTAAAGATATGCCACGTGCTACTGCATTTTTCCCGCTCAGAGGGAACCAGGCGATAGAGCCATTCAGAGTGTATCTTGACCGTTTGGTTGTCGAGAACATGCACTTCAACAAGTATGTTGATCACCATGAGACGTGAACATTTGACGAGATAGTGTTATACTCATGATGGTTGGCCTACGGATCACATCTCACTTCTCCTCATCTTCCCGAGCGCGTCATGCGACAATTTGACTACACTCAGACCATTCCCAGACACTATGTTGTCTCTGCTCCACCTACTTTGACACATAGATAGATGCCATTTTTGATGATTATGAGAGTCATCTGATACCGAAGAAGACACGGAGTACCATAGCTGTGAGCGATTAGAGCTACATCAACGAATATATCAGGTGATTCTTCAGGGTGTCACATCTGTATACGGTGCATGCTGCTCCAGGAAATTCACCGATCAACTCATCAGAAGATAGTGGAGGAAGATCATACACAATTAAATCATGCTAAGGATGTTTTGCCATAATGTCGTTCCATAGTGGAGATTGCGTAGGAAGGCATTAAAGGAGGTATCTTCCCTAATGGGTTTGATGTGAGGCATGTCCTAAATGTCATCATGACGGAGGCACAGAGGCATTGATGTATCAGAGACGCCAGAGGGTGGGAGGATTGATGGTCGAGGAGCCAAAGAAGTCAGAAGAGGCAGAGAAGATGTAGTCTGATATACACAGTAGTGCATTAGTATATAGTAGTAGTACTATGGATTGTATTTTATTTTTACATCATGATACTTTATCGTTGTTCTCGACTTCATTTATATATGACATTTTTTGACCATCTAGATTTATGTACGTCAGTTATTGCATATTGATCGTATGTTTAAATCTCGTCATATAACATGGTACATAACACTTATAAATCTTCATCGGAATACATGTAAACAAAACACAACATAATTTTCTTATGTTCTGATAGGTTACAGAGACGTGCCTCTGTAAAATAAGCGGAGATGTATATTCGGTACACTAAACTTTTAAAATGACTTTTGAGTGTGATGCATGTGTATGTTTTAAATTATTACAGAGATACATCTCTGAATCATTTAACGCTTCAAGGTGCGTCCGAAGATACATCTTTAGAATCTAGGAAAATTTAAGTATTTTCACATGGTGCCTAAGTAACATATAGTGTGCATTAAAAAATTCCCTTAATTAAACCCCCTTTAGCATGATTGTTCAAGCATATAAATGAGCCACTAGAATCAAATGGACCAAACCTAACCTATTATGGCTTCAAACTTTGAATCAACCTCATATTTCTTTTCAAGTGGAGGAGGGGGTTTATGTATCAAAACTTGTTCAGTACCAATGGCATGTGATTTTCACCACACTAAAATCAACTAGCAGAGCCACTAACAACATCTTGCATTGTGCAAGTCCAACCCCTATTCTCACTCCAAGTTCATTAAAATGTTAAAAATGTATTCTAACAACACCTATGTTAATCTTAGAAGCAAAACTCACATGATCTCATCAATTTCAAAGATGTACACAATCCCCAGGCATAAGGTCTGAAGGGGTGAAATGCTTAAGGATACAACTGTCATATTAATCCAATTATATATGTAGTTTGAATTTCGTCATTGCTCCTCATTGATAGTCATTGCTCCTACTACTAATATTCTTGGCTCTTCATCCAGTAGGAGACCATTGGTGTTACCAAAACTTGGCTTAATTAGCAGTTTTTTTTAATCCTCTAATCTTGGACAAACGACCCTACTTTGATCATGAGAGATACACGCTCCATGTTTATTGGACAAGCAATCCTACTTTCATCATGGAATATGATCAAACAAATTGACCGCCACAGAGAAATAGACGATCAAATTTTTGGAACAATTTTAGACTATATGGGTGCAAGACTTTCTTAAGTACTAATGCGACCTAGATAAATTTATCGATTTTATTAGTATTGTGACTCTCATGCAATCTTGTCTTAAATTTTATCTATAATTGACTGCTAACTCTACTCCTTTTTGTATGTGCAGGTAAAATGACTAACGCCAAGGTGATCGGGAAAAAGAAACCAGGTTGGCTCAAGCCAAAGTCCCGTGAAAAGGTCCGACTTATGCATCATAGTAATGTTGTTGGCGTTAAAAAATGAATTGTAAAAAGGAGGAAGAATGTGAAGGGTGTCATAGTGAAAGGCGTCCCCATTTCCAACAAAATTGCTCATAGGACCTCCACATCATCCTGCGAAAAGGAACAAGGAGGATGCTAGCAAGTTTGTTCTTTATGATGCAACTCCGATCCATATATCAATCTGGAGGCCGCCACTCTATATATGGAAAACGGAGGGAGCAGAAGGTCATCCCCCCGAAGGCAATGAAATGAAGATTAGAAGATTAAACAAAAAGGAAAACCACTATTTAAGCCAAAGTATGGTAACACCAAGAGTCTCTTAGATAAAGGGCCAAAAAATCTAGTAGTATGAGTAAGAAGATCCTCCCCAAAAGGCGATGAAGATTAAAAGATTAAACAAAAACGAAAATCACTATTTAAACCAAAGTATGGTAACACCAAGAGTCTCTTAGATAAAGGGCCAAAAAGTCTAGTAATAGGAGTAAGAAGGTCCTCCCCAAAAGGCGATAAAGATTAAAAGATTAAACAAAAACGAAAATCACTATTTAAACCAAAGTATGGTAACACCAAGAATCTCCTAGATGAAAGGCCAAGAAGCCTAATAGTATGAGCAATGATGATTATTGAGGCGCTACAAGTCCCATAAAAATAATTATGAGACGTTAAAAATATTTTTCGAGGCATAAAAGTCCAAAGGTCAAACAATGGACACATATATTACAAAAACTGACACGTTGCCCACAAAGACCCCATGAATGGGGAGTTAAAAGAGAGACACTCGTGACAGGCATCAACTTCACACCTACATTGTGCCTCATCATAACACAGAAAACCCTGACACGAAACTTTATTATTAAAACCCCAACTTACTCCATATCATTCAACTCATGAAATCGATGACCCAAATTTCCACTAGAATTGCCAACTTTTATCCGCAGCTTCACTTCGAGTTTCCTTCCTCACCCCAACTGTGAAAGACTCCCCTAGATAAGTAAGTTGTGAATCTAATCTCTTACTCAGATGTGATTGAATCAAAAACACTGAAAAATAATGCTCAATCATTTTATTTTTTTTTAAAATACATCTCAGATAAGACTTAAATACAAAATCACACACAAAGTCACAAGGAATTTAGCTATTTCTCCCTCAACCGCAACTCCAATAATTTTCTTCTATACTGAAATGCATATTCCTTTTAGTGTACACCTTTATTATTTTATCTACTAATTAAAAAAAACAGATACCAAAACAGATACCAAAGTAGAAGAAAGTAAGTGAAACAGAGATTACATTTAAATTTTTAAAGAATGCAACTTGGAGTTGCTCAATATGTTCATGGTAAAAGCCTATTCGCTAGTACATTATTCCAAGTAGTAATTGTAACTAACTAGAAAGGGAAACCAATTCCTTCTATTGTAGTACAACAGCTAACATTAAAACAAAACGCGTATACCACCCAAACAAAAACAAAAAACAAATGTCACCCTGTTTTTGAGGCTTGTGTTTTCATCCTCCATGTAAGTTTGGTTAGTGCGTGTATTGTGTCAACTCCAGTATTCTATTCACTTTCTTTAATATCTATTGTATGTATGGACAATTATCCATCCACGCTGCTGGCTGTCCGGTTTGCCTAAAGCTTGCAAGCATTTTCTGAAAGACAAACAAATTTACCAAGTTAAATTAGAAGCCATATAATGCATGCCAAAATGCAACATAACAACACGAAAAATACAAGAAAAATATAACAGCGTAGCTCGCTCTTTGACTAAACCCCCCTTTTACCACGATTGTTCAAGCATATAAACGAGACACCAGAATCAAATGGCCAAACCTAACCTGTTATGGTTTCAAATTTTGAATCAACCTCATATTTCTTTTCAAGTGGAGGGGGTTTATGTATCAAAACTCGTTCAGTACCAAGGCCATGTGATTTGGACCACATTAAAATCAACTAGCAGAGCCGCTAACAACATCTCGCATTGTGCAAGTCAACCCCTATTCTCACTCCAAGTTCATTATAATGTTCAAAACGTATTCTAACAACACCTTTGTTCCTCTTAGAATCAAAACTCACATCCTGGGTTCCTTAGTAATCAAGAACTAGGAAGACGAAGTAGAGCGACATCCGTGCCCAACTTAAATCCAGATCAAATTTCATATTTTCATGAATATAGATTCCTATTTTTTTAACTCCCCAATTACAATGGAGGGTGAAATAGTCCAGCTAGTAGGAAAAGGCAGTGATGATTGTAGTAATTATTGTAATGCAGGGTGAAATCAACTAGGCCCCATTTGATACAGCCAAAACAAGCAAAAATATGCACATTGATAAAAGGAGTTGGGATAATGCACATTAATATTAAGTTGCACAAAAAGAATAACCACTATGTCTGAAGTTTTTAAGCTTCATATAAGTGTCAAGAACACATATTTAAACTTAAAATCGATTCCGGATGGCGGTTCATGGCGGAAAGCCAAAATCCCGCCATACCAGTCGCTTAGCAAGCGCCATTATAGCGGACTATGGCGGAAATTCCCACAATTTCAGTCGATATTTACTATTGCGGCAAGCCCAAAAACTGCCATGTATATCCGCCATAGCGCCGCCATTGCGGATATTTGATAACACTGATCAGAAGTACCTTTGCTCTGAAAGATTTGATAACAGAAACCAGCAACTTGTCTCCCGCAATTAGTCTAACTTTTTGTGTCAATTCATGTCGCGAAATCTTCTTTTCCTGTAAAGAGAAGGAACCCAAAACACAATTCAGCAAAAAGAGAAACTAGTGCCTCAGTCTCAAACTCCAGAAGCAAGTGAAAAGCACTTACTCTATACTCTTTGTGAAACTTGGCAATGAAAACAATATCAGACGGAGGCAACATCTTGGAAAGCACGGAAATTAGGACCGTGAATGGCATCCAAGGCGAAGACGGTCTCATAGATTGCCCCCCAACTCCGACCTTCTCATGTCCTACAAAATCGAACACACAAAGAATCTCAGCCATCATCCCTAATCACAAAATCAAAAAACCAATAACAATAAGAACAGGCATAAAAAAAACCTTTGTTGGAAGCAAGTTTGAAACTCAAAACATATTCAGGCAACACATGCGTGTTGATCCTGTTACTCCAAACAATGAACTCTTTGGGAGATGAAAAACTATCCACCCCAGAATCATACTCTTCAGAACTCGGACGGCATTGCTCAGAACCCGCTGCCACAACCTCCATCTTTCCAAGAATCACACGACATAGCAACAAGTGCCTCAAACCGTCTTTATCAACAACAGAACTTTTCACACTGCACAAACACAAAAGACAAAACAACAATACACATTCAATCACAAATTATAATCTACATCGATTAAAGTGAATAATCAATCATTAGCTACAGATAATTCAATTAATTAAACTAACTACACAATTAAATAATATACAATATAATAATACAAAATTGGCGCGTACCTTTCGAGAGGTGAATCATTGGGAGAGAAACGCAAACCATTACTATGAGCATGACCAAAACCGTGTTGAATAATATCATCAATCTCTTCCTTACTAGACGCACCATACCAAACGTGTTTCACGTTCGCATTTCCACCGCGGAGTTTCGCCACCGCGCGTGCGAAGATCTGAAACGATTGAATTCTCGCTTGTGCCATTACAGATGAACAAGGATTCCTCTGAATCGACATCACATCGGCTTTCAATCCTTGCGTGCTCAAACCGTAAACGAATCTAGTTCGAATTAGGTTCATATCGGCACCATCCGTCTTCCGAACTTGCCTCTCTGAAACGTGGCCGCCGGAAGCAACACTCTCGCAATCGGAAACCGCCGATTCGTCGTCTCCGGTGGATCTCTCTGATGGAATTGGTCGCTCCATAAATTTAATCGAAATTAAAAGCTAAAAAGAGATTATGTTATGTAACCTAAAAACTAAAAAATAAAAAAGGGATTAATGAAAATATAATTGATATGAGTTCATTGTTATTATTTTTTAATAGCAAAAACTTGGAGAGAAAGAAAAAGGAGGGAAAGAAAAAAACGAACACACACAAAAAGTTAGAAAATAGATACAAAGTGTGTGTGAGGAAAAAACAAACAAAGGAAATAGAAGTTGAGAGAAGGTGGCGTTTTGTTTTTAAAGGAAACGGAAACCGCCATCAGAAAGAAGAAACGCGACGACTTTGCGAAAGGCGGTGGAGTAGATAGGTTCGTTATTACGGAATTTGAATAAGAGGACCACGTTTTGTTGTGATATTACGATTTTGTCCACTCGTGTTGTGTTGCGTTGCTTGTGCTTTCTTGGTGACTAAGGCAAAGGTCAAAATTTGCAGCTGATTTTGTTACTTGTGCAATACTGGTGATTGGCTTTTATTTCGTTTTATTGTTATTTTTAAATGTCGACACTGGGTAATTTTTATTTAATTATTGGCATGTTATTTTAGATCAAAATTTAGATCATGTGGAAACTATGATGTAGGAGCCTTTATTTGAGGGTCATCAAATGTAGACCTCCGAAAATATAGCGTGATACATAGATATAATACTTAATGGACAAGCAAAATCTACTCATAATGCATAGAGTATCTTTTAGTCGGTTATTATATATATTTAAAAATATATTTTTTGTAAAATAAATTGTTTCTTCTGAAAAATATAAGAAAATGTATTTGTTCACAAATGTTTTTTTTTTCTTTTAGATTATTAACTAATGTTATTATACACTATAGTATAAAACCCTTATTCATAAAATGGAGATAAATTGTGTTGAGATAATAAATTTTATTTTTTATTTATTGATTATGAATTAGGTTGTTGGATTGTATATCTATTCATAAATGTAGCTGTGATTTTTTTTTTGATTTATTATATTATACAAAATAATACGGAGTATTTAAATTGTTTTTGTGAAGAAATGATACATCTGAGAACAGATATTCTAGCATGTGGTTTTTGTCTGCAAGACAAGGATACTGTTGTTTTGGTATGTATTTCTGCAGTATTGTGTAACAAGATGTGTTATTATCTATTAATAATGTGTGGTGTGATTTGTTAGACATATGTTTGAAGATCAAATCACTTTAATTGAAGATTTAAATTTGAATTTGAATTAAAAACAAATCATATCGTTTGTTGGAGATTTTTATAGAACATCAAATTCAACAATATCTACTACTATTATGGACAAGATCACAACTAACATTTATTTATTGTAAAATTTGGTAAATAACCTCTGGTATATCAACTTTGGGTGAAATTGAATAACTTGTAGGATCGACCACACAAATCTTAGGACATGTGCTAAGTTTAAAGGACAACCTAAACTGAACTCCACGTTCGACTATGTTCTAAAGGAACTCTATGTTCGACTATAAAACTTTGTTAAGTAAAAAACAACTTGGAAATTGACAAGGCTGTAAAATAAAGGGTGCAATTCTTAAAGCGTCGAAAGTAAAAGGCAAGATGTAAAAGACTTTGAAAATAAAGGCAATAATATAAAGGCTTGAAGTTGATAAAAGTGCAAGAAAGTACGTGTATAAGACGTCGAAAGTAAAAGCAACAATGTAAAAGACTTGAATTCGATAAAAGTGCAAGAAAATAAGTGTGAAGACAAATATTTAGAAAAATGCAGAAAAGTACCAGTCGAAAGAAATTAAAAAGACTTTTAAATAGCAAGTTAAAATAAAGTGCGGAAGTAAATTAACTGAAAGCAAAGATTAAAAATCAAGTATCAAGTAAGAACATGTAAATAAGAAAGATAAAGTTCAGGAAAAAACATTTAAACATGAAAGATAAAGTTTAAAGGAAAACATGCAAGATAAAGTGCAGAATAAACAACAACATATAAATGGTAAAGACACATAAATTGCATTGATGAAAAGGCATGGTGTTACATCACGTACATTCTCTCGAACTCGTTTCTCTACACGCGGGTACTTTGAGTAATTTGGAGTAACTTGTACAAGACAAATGAACACCTATATTATATGGAAATAACCCCTATTTATAATGCTAGAAAATAAATACTGAGTGATGGATGTTGCTTCAAAACGTGTCTTTTGGTGCTTTTTCTTAACTTCCACTGTTCCCACATTCGCCAACTGCTCTTTTGAAATTCAAATATTAGGAATTTCCCTCCAGCTTTAGTGATAACTGTAGCGCGCTTCTTTCAGTATCCTCACGGTCGAAGGACTTCCCAACACTTAGCAATTTTTCCAGAGATTTTCACAACTTCTCTTCGACTCAGGCTTCACCAAAAACTGGGTCGAAGCCTTCTTATGCTTAAAAATAACACTTTAACTTGAGGTGACTCTGATTTTTCTAGCGTCGAAAATGAGAGCCAACAAATTGCCCCCAAGAAATGTCCTTTCGCCAATATTGGTAGGAAGACCATTTTTTATAACCCTTTCGACGCATATGACTATGAAATTGCATGCCCTTAACTGAACAACCCACTACTTGTTTAGTGGTTAAACTGTTCAATTTCTCTAATCCACGCTTATAACGTCACGCCATCATGACAAATCCTTAAATGTTTTTTCAGCTATATTCATCATCACTTTTTCTTGAAGACATATGTTTTGCAGTCTGACCATAACTGTTAACACTCATCATTTCATAAGAGAAAGACGCATGTCCCACTACCTGTTCAACTTCAACGGTGGATTCACGGCCTTTAGGACTCCCAAACGCCTATAAATACTCTTTTTCACCATTTTATGAACTTTTCACACTCTCAGAATCTTAAGAACCTTGTCTCTCCTCCTTCAATTTTCTTCACGAAACCTAGAAAGCACCATTTCCTTTTATCTCTTTTAACAATGGCATCCTCCCAAGCAAATCTTCACGAAAAGAAAACCCAAAAGGGTAAAGTCATTCAATACAAGCAGACTATTCCACCATTCCCAAACGTTTCTGGCCCCCAAATAGTGGATAATCGCCACTGCATGCTAGAACCAGTCACTGAAGAAGCACGACGCATCTATAAATCTCAGGTAATGATTCCTTTGATTGTTTCTGATAAACCATATGAATTGCCTGGTCCTCTGGCTAATATTGGAATTTATGATGAAAAATTGAGCGAATTTCTTCCTTCCTACTGGAAATCAAGGTCGTTAGGGCAAAAAAGTTTCCTTGAAATCACTAAAACTGCTTCCGAAGACCTCACAGTGCCTAAGATCAACCTAAGTTATCTCACTGATGGCACTAGGCTGGTAAGAGCTATGAATCCCCTAAAGGACTTTGACCATTGGATGGAGAAGTTGGAAAAAGTTAAGGTTGAACACTGGAAATCTATAGGTATCTATGATCTCCTTATGTCGTCGAAGACCAATATCCCATACTGCTTGAACATGCTGGCAGTATCTCTGTACTTCTGGGACATTACTCACTATACCTTCCATTTGCCACGTGGAATGGTTACACCAACACTCTTCGACCTAGCTGCCATCACAGGGCTTCGCCCAGATGAAATCCCTTATAATTCTGACGTGGATGTTAAAGATACCATAAACATCTCAAGCTCCAAACTCACCTACACCCTCTTCATCAAACACCACTTCGACCAAGACCATGAAGACGTATCTGACGAAGAACACATTGCGTTTCTCATTGTATGGTTGTCGAGATACGTTTTCTGCACCAAATCTTTGCAAGTAGCCAAGAAGTACTTGCTCCTTGCTAACTAACTCCACAACAATAGAGGGGTCTGCTTAACTGAACTCATTTTGGCGAACCTCTATGAATCCATTAGTGAAGGGTCTTCTCGACTAAAACACATGGAGGCTCAAGGTTTTGTACACTTGAGTGGTCCTATTTGGCTACTTCAATTGTGGCTTAATGCAAACTTGGAAGCTAGCCTTCCCAAAAAAGGGATACTTGATGAGGCTTCTTCTGAGATAAGAGGAAGGAGCATTGAAGGGACCCGTTTGGTCAAGCTTACTCCTAACGATGATGGCAAAACCCTTAAAGGGGCCTTCATTAGTTACATTATGATGTTTGCTGTAACACCCTCTTCTATACCCCCAAATAAACATATAAAACATTTATGCACGTATTCAAATTTTTATCAGAGTAATAGAAACATGATATAAAAGAAGCATGTCACACAATACGTGAAATTAAAACATACAACACCTGCTCTATAAAAGACATGTAACAGTGGGGTAGCTTTCAACAGAGGAACTTAATCCTTACACCCACATCTCAACATTTAGAATTAAAAGCAGAAAATCTAAACATTGAAATCACTTAAAACATATAATCATATAAATACATATCATCCAGTTTGGGTCACCAAATCCTTCATGTTTACACAAACATTTGTCAGCAGATACATATACATATGTATCACAAAAGAATGTTATACAATCCTAACTACCCGGTGCTACATATCAGAGCTTAATCGACCAAAAGAATGAAGCTATACTTCACAAAAGACCTCCAGCAACCTAATCTGCAATGCCTCATAGAACATTATAAAATAGCAGAAGGATGAGAAATATTATCATAATAATCAATGCATATAATTATATATATACGCATAAAATACACATAATCCGCATTTCTCACCACCGTTCATTATCATCATCATATACATCACAATATATGTACAAACAAATATGGATAATCACCAAACGTGGTTCATCACGCACATATCCATAATTCTAATCAATCCACATAACATACACATATGCATACATTCACACAGTATTTATCTCTATGCCATGTGACTCAATGCAACTCAATGCAACTCATGTCATGTGGTACCAACATTTGTTATCATTTTTTGGTTTTTACATTTAAACCGGGTCCATCCCCTAGACCGATAACAATAAAAGTCCGTCCTCTAAGCTTTCAAATTCACCCTTCTAGGTTTGG